TGAGCATCGCTTTGATTCAACCATGCCGTGTATGTAGTACCGCAAAAGTGTGCACAGATGTGCGGTGTGTTCTGTGTGGTCTGGTGATAAATTCCCACACTAACACCCTTTCATGACTGAGACAAGAAAAACTCCTTGCGTACTTGTACACTGATGAGCTCCTGACTTTTCAGATAACACTCCTGGCCATTGATTCGCATGCTTCTCTCTAGTCAAACACATCCACGATAGCGAGCTCGCCATGGTGAAATGTCTGGGTTTCAGAATATCTATTCCGTCCCCATGCTTTTATTGCACACGACCAAAGTGTCATGCACACAGCGTTTCCATTGTTACATATCGTTAGTTTGCTAGACTGATTTGTCGAATGAATTGGTTGGTTTTATGTCTGTCCAAGATGGGCCTGAAAGACTGGCTATAGCAAATCTGTTCATTTGTTTGTACGATTTGCTGCTGTGTTTCGGTCTGAGAGCTGCCTTTTAGTGAGTGATTTTCAGACTATGTATGCAGGGCTCTACTGCCGCACATTAACATCGAACTCATGACTGAAAGGCCCGCTGACGGAACCGGGGTATTTTTTATTTGCTAAAGGCATCTTTCGGAGGCAAATTTTTCACTGAAAAACAGTTTGGTATAATTCTTGGACCCCTTAACATGGGTTAGACGGTTTAAGTATAAGTTGAATGCTTATTGAAATCTAAGATCGCTTTCATCTTGCTTGAATCAAAATTCCTACAAATCTCCTAAATGAGCATTTCCTGTCAAACTAAATGTGCACCTATGGGGTTACTTTTGAGTGTATTTCATAACTGCTTACTTGGATCGAATTCATTTTGTATGGTTTTTCGAAATTTAAGGACGTCAAGAAAGGTCACATGTGGGAATATTTTTGTTGAACGTTTCACATTAAGCTATGTATTGGGGATGTTATATTCTGATTTGCGAGTCTTGACTGTGCCATGCGTTTATTATATCTTGAATTGTGCGCAAAGTTTCCACTTTTGCAGCTGTTTGTGCCCATCTGTCTATATCCAGGCCAACCTGTCTTACGCACAGCGGAGACTACCTAACGCGCATGGATCTCTCAAACATCTCGTATCTCGGCTCGTGTTCTTAAGCTTATTGTGCTCTCTTCCAAATTCGGTGGAATATGTTTTTTACATTTTCAATATTCATACTATCATGTAAGAAGTCAATACAAAAGAACTTATATTGACTGCACAGTTCCTGAATCCAGGATGCAAACAAATGTAAATAATGGATAAATCGTCCTACAAGCTATCTCTGACGCGACATAAAGTAACCTATTACTATAGTTATTATTCATCCTACATTGTTGCGTCTTATTCCTTGTATAGGATCCATTTGAGAGGACCAAGGAATTACAGCTGTTCGAAAGTAGAGTAATCGAATGCTGTGGTTGGTCATACTGATATGTGGATTTTCTGAGGATCCTTTGAAAGAATTCATGCGGGATCGCGTATCCGTCGGTCGCAAACTTATATGAGAACTGCTACATTCGCCTTCTGTCTGTTTACTCACTGGTTTGTGGACAGTGTACAAACTCATTCTAGTCCATTGCTACTATCTTTGGGCGAGCGCAATTCGATGTTAACTGATAGATAATCTGGTGACAGAAACATCTGTTACATTATACATGGAGTGCGCGGGTGTTTATCCAGCATATGTCGGCCAACGTTTATTCGTCATTCAATATCCAGCACAGCCAAACCCCAGGAACGGCGACTGGATTGTGGGTAGGCATACAGTGGTAACTCGTAGGATTCTACGCATGGATATTTGTGGTATTTACGTGCAACATGTTGGAAGATGAGTATTTATCACGCTGCAAGTATGGTAAACTTGGTGATATTAAGTGACTTATGACATAAAAGCAGCACTATTTTCTCCAGGCATTCCACTGCCGGATTTATACACTCTGAGGCAGTCAAAGACACCCGTGGGTCAACCTAATCAAATCCTTATGAAAACTAAACAAGATTTTGTGCTAAAGTACAGGTTTGCCACTCTGCTTGCGTTCTAATAATGAACAATTTCACTGACATATCCTCTACCTCACGTTTGTCACGTGCAATAATAGCATGGGGACGGAACAGATATTCCGAGATCTAGACATATTTCGCTACACTGAATCCTCGTGAATGTGTTTGACTAGAAAGAAACCCGTGACTCAATGACCAGGAGCGTTAACTGCAAATTCAGAAGCTCGTTAATGTACAAGTACGCAAGGAGTTTTTCTTGTCTCAGTCATGAAAGGGTGTTAGTGTGAGAATTTATCACCAGACCACACAGAACACACCGCACATCTGTGCACACTTTTGCGGTACTACATACACGGCATGGTTGAATCAAAGCGATGCTCAGATAAGCTCGTGAGGTCTTGTCCGGAGTAGGAACAGGCTCGGCAACACAAGGGAAAGCGCGCAGCTATTTGGAATCAAGAGCAGTTGGTGTCCACAGTAGTTCCATTCGCCGAATATATCGTGTAGTGTAGTGCGCGTTTTGTGTAACTGGCGCGTTGACTCTGGCCAAAGCAACATAACTACTAGCGTCAATTGTGAATGAAGCCAGGTTTTTTTGCTTCCATCGTGAAATCCGTTTATTACTATGCCTATGCGTGTTGAAGCGCTAACCTTTTTGCTGTAGATCAACTGATCAAGAAGCTACTCTATGCAATGAGTGAAATCGCTGGGTTTGCGAAAGAAACTCGATTTTCTCAACTTGGCTTGCTAGGACAACTTATTCTAGCTGATCTATTTTAGCATGCTTTAATGAGGTGTTCCCCATTGCATCCAGGGTCCTTCGGCTTAGGGCAAAATGCCTGGACCAATAACCCTGTTTAATTTGCTCTTCTATATGCCCGTAGCCTGAGTGTTATTGATTAAGACCGTTAGTGCATTTTAATGCATACATTTGTACATACTCTCCTGAATTTTTTGTCGTTCTCTCATTCTTACCCTAAAATGCTTTCGTCTCTTCCTGGCAGTTCATGTATTATTTTAAATATGTTTGGCGCACTCCTTTTCTCATAATGAGAAATGATGTCCAGTGGTTTTCAGGCTGAGACGCGGCCAAAGCATTTTTGTGAAAATTCCGTGACTTTGTATGACCCAAAATGTTTGAACAGTCAAGTCACAGCATAATTTACCATCTGTCACCAAACTCGTTGAGTGCCACCTGCCATTTTGTGCTGATGAAACCTGGTGCAGTAGCTATCCGTGCGTCCCTGACCTAAATCAATTTTTAGTTGATCATAATAACGTTTCTGAATTGTCCCGCGTTCTGTCTAGATAGAAGTTTTCGTTCATTTTGCCCAATCAATTGTGACGGTTTGCATCTGCATTGGTTCACCATCCGATTTACTGACGAATGTACATGATTTGGTCGTGTGAATTTGGTTATACCTAAACTGTCAGTTATTATCAGGTGGGAAAGTTCCCAGGCGGGTTGTTGATTGTTTTGGCCACTGTTATCAATGAAGTCCTCTTCTTTTTTGGACAATCCTCGATAACCGTTCAATATTACTGCCCGTAATTCCGACCGAATACACACTTCCCAGACTTTTCCCGGATTTCGTATTATCCGTCTCACCAACAAAATCACTCCGGCCAAGCCGTGTCTTAAGCGTAACAGTAACGAAAGACAGAGATACATTTCTGAATGACATACCAAAATGTGAAACCCATAAAATTCAAACTCAGCGCATATTGCATCTACATCGCCAGTTCTTGGTTGGTAGGCTCGAATTACCACTTACGCATGCTCGGGCGGGTTAACTTGAGCTATTTTCTTATCAAGAGTGCGTGAGCTCGGTTTTTCTTGCAATCATTCATCGCATTTGCGCAAGTCTACGATGTTTGTAATTAAGGTATCAATAGAAATACCACAGATTCTGGCCTTAATAATCCATGTTGGAAATCAATTTTAATCATCTCAGTATCTCTTGTCTTTATCGTATGCTCTCATAGAAAGAAATTTAAAAGAGGCCATTAATTTGCAGTTAAAAAGACAAGATGAATCTAAAAGTAGGCCTAATTTGTCGCTGTGAAACTTGATGCCACATATTGGAGGACTTCAGACGACTTCAAACTTTTAGTCGCGTTGAAAATTAAGATTCATTTGGTTGCGGAGTGCTCTCAATGAAACGTTGCGCGAACGATTGCTTGGTGATAGATAAGAATCAGAAAATCAGCTGACGAAGCTCTTTAGTTCATGGTGGTTGGGTGACGCATTGCAAATTTCCAAGCACGTCTACCCAAAAAGCAGTATATTTTACCTCGAATAGTTGCTGTCAGATTGCTCGCAGAGCATAGCCTACATTTTCAAAACTGAAATCAACTGATTTCGAACCGGTAGCCGTGAGATCTTTGTTCCCATGTGGTTGGGACTTACGTATCTGTCTCATTATGGGCTGAGAAACCATACAATACACAGTACGCAGCCGATCCCTAGCTGACAAGGGTAAACTTTCATCGTTCGTTGCTGTGTCCTAGACTCTTGTTGGGTGAATTCGCAAAGGATTCTGGGTTAATCAAGCCTGTTAAATGATTAAATGCACCGAGGCGTTCATCCCTTCTCTAGTTCTCTGTAAGGAGCTAAGGCTGTCTGTGTGGTAATGCGGTGGTACTCACTATTCAGTATCGAATATTCACTCCTGGAATGTTGTCGATGATGATACCAATAATGCGACAGTGTAAAACAGAATAAACACAAAACAAGAATGCGAAGAAAACACGCGTTTTATAGGTCTGCTGGAGAATCTTAGGATTTTCTGCATGATGTAATTGGTGTTTTTCAACAGGAAAGATTTGCTCTGGTTTGTTGGGTTCAAGATTGGGAATGGGGGGGGGAAGCGGACAAAAGTAGCCTCACTCAAATAAACAATATTTGGTTAAATATATGATGTTACCAACGGCATCTTTTTCAAATGTCGGGTACCACAATATATAAAGCGACATATCTGTAAACAGGAACCTACATGTTTCGAAACAGGTCATGTGGAATGCACCCGAATAGAATTCCAGGCCAATGATGGCAAAAATAGTAATGGCAAATAGGACCAGAAGACTGATTTGCAGGAGCGGCGCCATTGCACGAAGAATGGATTTGAGCACAATCTGCAAACCTGAAAAAAGAACACCGCTGCTGAATAAACATCCTTGGAATAGCGTTGAGCAGCAATGCTTCAAAGGAATTTTTAGAATAAAAAATTGCACAGATTACTTTTCTCATGAACAAACCACTTTAAGTAGTCCAACAAAAATGAGCTGTTTAATCAGGCGATCATCATATCCAAAGAGCTTTGACAGAAATAAAATGGTTAATCTAGTGAGGTTTGCCTCTGAACGCAGAGATAACTGATCTTATTCTCATACTTGAGGTTTTTGGAGGAGAGGCAGCTTCGACTTTGTCATGATAGAGCATAACGTTTAGTCAGCATGTGTGCAGCGCAAACGGGCCGATAAGTAAACTCTAGAAAAAATTGTCTACTACAGCTGAGTGTGATTAGTCCACAGTCTACGAAATTAAGAATATGAAATATTTCCAAAGGGGTGTAGTTTTGCAACTGGGCTCTTGCTGATAATATAAAATGTCACTACTAATAGAGTGACGTATCAGTTGTGTTTTGTTTAAAAAGCACCTTGAAACACTGACCTAAAAATTCCGAGGTCACCTCAGGATTGAAGCCATCTCTGACATGGAATACCAAAGTTATTCAACAGGCAAGTTTTTTCAGACTTTCCACTAAACGTTTTTGTTGCCGCGTTTGACGCATCATATATTCTTGCGAATTTCGTTTGTTCAGTTTGAGTTAGATTCTTGGAAGCCACACGTTTAATAATACGGTACAATAGTTACGCTGAATATGACAAAGCCTATTGTTAAACACTATTTAGAGCAGGAAGAATCACACAGTAGATTTTTGACTACCTAAATGTATCCCCGTTTACAACTTTGTAAGTACGGCGACTGGTGATAACACAGATTTCATGGTTCATTTAAAGTCTTATGTGGAAGGCTGTTGGTGCTTCCGAAGCAGTCAGTTTGCGCTGGCTGACACAGAACAGAACAACTAAAGTTCAAGAACCATATATATATATATATATATATATATATGTTCAGAAAGTTGTACCATTGTTATCTATTGATCATTTTGCCAATCGTTCCAAAGTTTCAAAAGGTTTTTTATATGATGAAGTCTAGCTGACCAAGGCATATAGAATTCCCGTAAACTATTTCTAGTATGTCCTAAAATGTCCGAATAGTGCAGGTATCGCTCCGATTACCAATTAATCCCGATTACTTTTGAAATTCACAGGCAATATGTCCATCCCTTGCAGAATATACTCATCTGGGCTATGTAGAATTCGTTCAAAAACTGACGGTGTTTCTATATTCCTTTTCATACCGAGGCTACAGAGGCGTAGCATAAGAGCTGTTACTAACAGCGGTTACTGGATGCGTTTCCTACTCTCTTGAAAGTGACAGCAAATGTTCATCAGTTTTTTTTGTTTTCAAACACAGAACTTACTGTAAGTTGGAAGGTGTAAAACTTCAATCATGATCATAAACAGAACGAGTTTAATCCTGGTCTAATATGCTTCATTCCGTGTGGTCGCTTTCATTCAGTCATTGGAATATCTTTACCTAATAGCCCACTTTGCATTATTCCGATTGAATCCTGTTTCAACCAGATAAATTAATTACTTTTGCTGTATCACCACTTCCCCTACCTTTCTTTGGACATACATGCTGTGACACTAACTGAAGCAGTGAACTTAACATAGCTGTTTTGCTGTCGGCTGTGGGTCCGGTTAATACCGTGAAGACATTACAGTCCTACTCAGCAGCACCTAATGGGATAGAGAGTGAGTTGCTTTCCTCGATCTTGCAAGGAGCTTGCTTGAAATTGCGCGCCATTCTCAAGAAAAAGATTAGCGGAATGCATGATCTGAGTTCCATTGTCGCTTTACTAAAAGAAAAGAATAACTCTCATCTTCTAACTTCAGTGTGTGCCCGAACGAGAATGAAGTTCACTGGTCAGCTAGAACAGTGAAATTGCCGCTTTTGTGCCCCTTGATAACGACCTTCCGGACTACCTATTCACCGGTGAATAACCGAATTGTACACATACTAACTGGTGCGAACAGAGGACCACTCGCAAATGTGATGCTCGGGGTTTTATGTAATAAACATAAAGTGCAAACCGGATCTCTAGATTGAGGCGGGTGGATCACCACGATATCAAAGTGGTTTTCCCCTCTTGCGTGGTGTCTAAAGTAGGATCCTTGCAAAATCTGATACTTATCTGCAAGCTAAAGTAGCGTTCAAACTGAGTTCTAGCTATCTCTCGTGTCTAGAGTGCGCAATATTACTAATATACCCTAGTGTTGTAATTATGTGAAAAGCAAGAGTTTCAGCTGAGTGCCACGCGTTGAAAGATGGACTACTGTACTTTCTCTCACAATAAGTCATAAACCAGAAGTGTAAAAAGGGCTCATGCGTTTAGGAGTCTTATATACAGTACCGCACAGTCAATAACTGAGTTGGTAGTTGATATGTTGAGCAGGATGCCTGAAATAAATGTGATGCAAATATTTCAAAATTACTATAAAGCCAACCATCTTACTTTCAAATCCTGTGACAAGTTTCAATGGTCTGAGTACACGCAATGCACGAACTGCCGGTTGATTCAAGTTTGGAAGAATGTAGGCTAATAACCTGTACACAAAAACATAAAAATGATTATCATACCGCATAACGCACCCAATTATTAACTATAGTGCTCTTTGGGGAGTAAAATAAAATAGTGGATTATTTGTGTTCAAAGAGTTTGCGTCTGACATGTAAGTAATCTTGTCAGATGGTAAATCTCATGAATGAAAGTCTACGTTTTGGTTAACCTGATAATCAATGTAATGCAGATTGCACTTAATTGTAGAACTTGTGTTCGCAAAGTTCCCCTAGATTAGTAAGATCTTTCAGGTGATCAAAACAATCGGAATGGCCAACAAACTTTTTGGTTGCTCCTTCGAGATGCCGGCGTGCTGCGCACCTCAGGCAAACCTCATCGATTTCCGCTCAGCAGATTTTGCATCTGTGGTGAAATAGTGCATCATGTTTACCCCTACCTCCCCCATTAATCCATTCCCACTCGTAACCTCTACAATTTCAACAATTCTCATTCAAAGTTGCTGCTTTGTGACTCTGCCGACATTTTATGCTTGAGAGGAGCAGGGCGTCTTCAACGATAAGGTGCACGATGAAGTGGCGGATATCGTAATCAGGCCATGGTAAGCTCAGTAGAAATCATATAAGCCTACCAGCTGCTTATTGCATGTTAGAGGATATTTTACGGTCTGAAAGGTCACTCATGTGGAATAAAACCTTTTAGAAATGTGAGCCCATTTTTACACAAAAACCATAGCGATTAGGTCTGCCTATTTTTTCTGTGGTTCTTCCCCGGCCGTGCCGGATGTTGATGTCGTACTCTTGTAACCAGTGTAACTAGCAGGAGAGATTTCCTCGGGAATCTCTGGTGGTCCCAATTCACTCGGGGGATTTTCGTCGGTCTCGACGTGAAATCTTTGTCCCAGTATGGCCTCCTGGTTCTTCCCCGGCCGTGCCGGATGTTGATGTCGTACTCTTGTAACCAGTGTAACTAGCAGGAGAGATTTCCTCGGGAATCTCTGGTGGTCCCAATTCACTCGGGGGATTTTCGTCGGTCTCGACGTGAAATCTTTGTCCCAACAAGTATGGCCTCCACCCGTCTAGGGCCCAGACGATCGCTAAACATGCCCTGTGATTGAGTACTTCTGCGCAGCGTCAGTGACGCACGACTGGCATATACAATGACCATATTCCTCTGCTTTGGAAATGCACAGACGCCCCAGTCACTAGAGTCCTTTGCGAAAGTAAACATCTCATGGACTCTGGACAGTCTGAGCGTCAGTCGCTTATCTTGCACTATGCACTCCCCCTGCCCGTTTGATCATTCAATTTTGACGCAGCAAGTTGTACACTGGAGCAGTAATTGGGTTGGAATCCTTGACAAACCGGCTATAGTATGATTGTTGTCCGAGAAACCGCTTTGATTTTGGAACAGCAAAGTCCTGGATCTTTGCCAGCTTTTCTGGCATTAATCTAACTTCCCGGTGACCCAGATTATGACCGAGTAGAGTCAACCACTCCGAGCGATCAGTGTGGTTCCATTTATCCGCAAGCCAGCTTCCCGAGTAAGCTTTAGTATGGCATTCAAGTGAACTGCATGGTCTGGTTTCGCTCGGGTTCAGCTATCCACGACGACGTACATGGTATCGCTCTCTGGTCCCTTCGTTATACGAAGCGTCAAAGCTGGAAGTGAATGATGCCCTCTCAAACCAGACGCACCCATGAATACCAGTTATCCCAGTCCTTTGACTTGATAGCTATTTGCCAGTATCCGTAACGCAATATCGAGATTAGTAGAGCCAAGGTACAGCTCTAACCCGGTTTACGATAGTTTTTTAAACACCAGAAGTTTACGCAAAATCGGTATTCCCAGTTCGTCTTCTTCACAAGGGCGACCGGGGAATTTTACGCGGTTTTGGCTTTCTGGATCATACCGTTTTGCAAGCTTCCTTGAACCCGTTAATTGATCCCCTCCGTAGGTGAACCGAAAGCTGACTGGGAGCGTAAGTAGAAAGCGTTCGAAGGAGAGTGAGTTTTTATGTTCGATCCACGTGAGGAAGCAAAACGGCTGTTCATCACCTGTGAACAGGACAATTTTCCTTTTACCATTACTTACCTGATGCCCTAAATATAACAGACTCAATATTATAAAACCGTTAATTGATCAACTTACAGATACCACTATTGGGCTTTGTGTTCATCAGTAGCCGAATACCTCGTATTAGAAAACCTACTCGCGATCGCGCTAAATATGAAAAGACAGGGCAGCCTCCATCCAACCCACCTTTGCGAGATATCCGAAGTCTTGCATTAACATCACACTTAGGTGCGCGGTATAGATATTTTCGATGTTTTTCATCTAACCTGCGTTTACTACATGTAGGAATCTTCGTACACTTCCTGTTTACTAATTTTTTGTCAAACCGCTGACCACTGGCTAGTTAGTGTTAGCTGGGACATAAATATGCAACTACAACACCCGATTTGAAGGTGGCGAAACGGTATATTATGCTAAACAAACTCATTCGCATAACCATTTAGTTTCTACAACAGATTCACCTGAAACCCAGCTAAATCTCTTGCCTTTTTATGGGTTCAAGTAGAACATTAGGTTGAAGGAAACTTGGGGACTGTGACTAGTTGCTAAGCCCCAAGAAGGGCCAAACTAGCCGTGGGCTGTGCAAGAGTTTTCAGCAACCTTATGAGTAGTGTAGTGAGTATATCAAACGTAAGTGTACCTAACTTGGTATGGCCTGGTGATTAACCTCAGGAGGCTCTGTGCATTGATAGAAAATACGGGCCAGTAGTTGTTGACTTTATCTGTGAAGTCTGATCTTCAAGCTCGTAAACATAGAGCTATCTCGTTTTTGTGCCATTAACGGCTATTCACCAGATATCCACGATTTCCAGCATTGTAATCCATGTAAGGTAATTTGTTATCACGGTTCACACACTTGGTGAGCTCGTTAGAAATAGTGCAGCAAGTTCCACAATGCACTTTATCCATGCATTTTACTCTGTACTTTATGAAGCCGAAGGCATAAACTCCTGAAAAACTGGGATAGCTTAATAAGAACAGTTTGAATAGTTTTATTATAGTGACCAACTAAGGGAGAGAATACACAAGAGAATGATTCACATTAGTCTTAATTTTTCTACCATCCAATAGCCTTTAGAGTAAACACTGCTTCAGAGCAGACGTTCAACCGAGGGTCAAGTTACGTAACTAATGCTCATTATGAATTGTTTCGGCTATCCAGATAGTCCAAATATGATCAATATCGTCTGTGTACACCACAACAACATGAATATTTGTCTATTTTGATGGGCACGATAATGGCTGATGTCTGCGCTACGATTAAAACAACCCGAAATGAGTGAATAGCCCAATTCCACTGCGTCACATTAAGCGCCAGTGAAGGACAGTGGTCCTTATTCAGATCTCGTCAGTGGTTAAAACAGTACACTCTGTACCAGAAATAATATGCAGAACCACAAAGTCTACTTCTGTGTCACTTGGTTGCCAGGACCGTGTAAGCAACTGCGTTAACCAGCAGTGGCCGGGATGCGAAAATTGGGACATCATTAAAGGGAGATTCAGCTGGGTTCCAGGTAAGTCTTCCGCCAGAAACAAGTTGGTATGCAGATGAATGTGTAAGTCGGAAAAACAGTGTTTTTCCATTGATGCATACACAGTGTGAAAAAAAACCCGCGTGATGAAATGTCCGTATGTGGTGCTCTATTATCTCACTAGTCAGACTGCTTTAAGTTCGAATAGAACAAGGTTGGTCCAACTGACCTACTTCACCGAAACAGCAACTAGTGATATTCGCTGGTCTGAATGCTACTATGAAATCAGAGGTTCAGTTAGCGAGCACACACTCATTTGCAAGCTAATTTGGTTTTTCGCGAGGTTTAGCTGGGTTCCGGGTGAGTCTCTCGAAAAACCAAATAAGTTTGTAAATGAGTGTATATTCGCTAATTTCGTGCAATTTGGTTTCAAGGAGAACATAAGTTTGACGGAAACCCGGGACTGCGCCTAGCTGATGAGATCCAAAAAGGGCGAAACCGGTCGTGGGCTGTCGACGGAATTTCAGCAACCCTGTGAGTAGTACATTACAATAGGTTCAGTTATTTACTTGACAAATTAAACGTTTCTATTGATTTTTTATTGTGACTTTAAAAAGGAGAGAAATCCATGGTCAAGTTGCTAGCACTTTAGGCTAATCAGATCCTCCCTTGTGTGAATTACACAATTGACAAATGACCATAATGTACGTGGGAGTCTGCAAATGAGACTGGTAATCTGTCCGTTTTTTTTGCAGTTGCGTTGCGGTCAGATCGCAGACAACCTAAGTGAACAGAAACCAGCCGGGATTCTATGTGCCAGAGAACAGTTCTGTTTTGTTTCTTGAGCGATTTTCCCAAAAGGAAAAGCCACTCAGTTGCCATTCAACACCGCGACGGAAATTTATAGCACGTATGTATCGATTTCAGAAAATACGAACAAATGTAAACTTTCGACTCTAGTGCGGAAACAAATCGCCGGCACAGTCCATAACACAGTAGGGCATTGCCTCTGAGCTGTCGGGATCCAACATTCCGAAGCCAGCACAGTAAACTTAGCGGTCTCGAATTTTTTGGCGATTAATCTGTCTGGCTCAACTGAATGCTCTTCATGCATGTAGGTTGACAACGCGGGTCGAAGGTAAAAGTCATGACGACTAAACTAATTAGTCAACCAAATGAACGTTCAATTGGTTGAGCCATGTGAGTCCGAATAATAAGTAGCTACCCATTTATGCACCTCACTGCTGAAGTAAGGTAGGACACATTCTTATAAACGTCCGACTGCATTTCTCCTTATACTACCAACTGATCATAATCGGAAGAAATGTTACAGCATGTTAACAAACAGCATCAGGCATTTTGTGAAATCGATAATTTCCTGTTGCCTTAGCAACCAGTAATTATTGATGTACATAATAAACAGCCAGCAAAAGGACACTGTGATGACTTACCCTGTGACAACCACGATGAAATCTATGATGTTCCAGATATTTCGGAGGTAGGCCCCTTTGTGAAATAAAAATCCAAGGGCTACAATTTTTAGCAATGCCTCCACGCAGAAAATTATCAGGAAATAGGTTTCTGTCTGCTCCTGCAAAGAAGAAATCGGTTAACCACACATTTAGTCTGTAATGTCACTACAATGTGTATTAAAAGGCAAATGTCAAAATCCTTACAAGTACCAATTTTTGAAATAAACATCTCATACAGTACACTCAGTCAACAATTTGGTATAATCTGGAATCCCAAGATTTTGCTGCTCAACCCAAACACTAACAAGATTTTCTCATTGTGCCAAGATCGGATTGTTGGCGAAACTCGGTGGGAACTTCTGGCGTTTTCACGTGGTTGTCTCCAATCTAAATACACTAGGTTCCGTACGCTGCAAGTAAGAAGTGCAACATTCCTTAAAAATCTTCAAATGGGTTGAGATTATTGCACAGAAGAGTAACTCGCAGTTTCTACTGAGCGCTTGAACAAAACATAGTTAGCTTTGAATGTCAGTGCATTATCGTGTGGGGTGAGGTCGAAAATTGACGAAGACGCGATTGCACGAGTAAGAAGGCCAATGTTCATGAAGTCCTCATTTCAGATACCTGGTATCACGGGGTGCACACAGTTATGTCGCAGTTCAACCATGTTTTAGTTTTCATCGCATAATTTAAGTAAGTGATCGCTCAGCTGTATCCGAAGACTGCTTCGTAATAAAGAGTGCTTCATTCTGTGTGTGGTACTAAGGCAGTCTACGAGAGACTATATGAGTATTGTGTACATTGGTCCTGCCTCCAAGAAGCAGTGTCGCAGTGTATGTACGTCGGAGCAATGCGCTATTCAGCTACTCATTCTTTAACACCCATCGCAGCTTCCCCCAATTCTTCATAAACAGTTTTCGAAAATTCAGGTTCACTGATTTCCGACGTCTGTCGAATGCGCAGTGATATTTACGGAATAAACTCCTGCGATAGGTGTCAACGTGTCTGATGACAACCTCGGTGCATGCTCGAGTGAACAACACCGTAAATATGAACCCCATCCAACAGTTTTAAATGACACGTAAAATATTCTGTCAGTTGAAATTCAAGTTTATGCACCTGATGAGCACTATTCGAACCAAATTTCACACCCAATGATGGATTCCTTTTACATTCTGGGATGTTCTTGAACACTGAGCGACTCCATCGCTTGTAAGATAGAGCGAATATTCACTGGGCCAACAAATCAAACCCCACCGGCGCCCGTATCTGAAATCCTGAGCCCGCAAAATGGTTCATAGACTCAGCACCAGTTGGGAGATCGATGGACTGGTTTCAGACAAATGCACTTTGTGATCAAGATTGAATCCCTTATATCCCTAATACTGCAATTGCAATTGCCAGACAGTTGACTTGAAGTTGATCCGACCCATTGGGATCCCTGAAAACTCAACCGCATGAACATTGTCGTCATTAGTGAGATTTCTTACAGCTTTCCTGAAACATCCAGCCACATCCAAGCCCACGTGACTACCGCGATGGCAGATTAAATTTTCAGACTGGTCACCATCATTCAGTTGATAGAATAAATCGAAATCCAAGTCCAACAGAATTCTACGCGTTGGTCACACTGGTCTTTGTATGCCTGACCCGAGCGTAACATCTTAAAACCGACACTTGACTCATGTCTTTCAAAAGTAGGATAGTTTATGCGTGTTTTAGGCTTCCAGGACACGGTCACATCAGATTTATCTCGGAACCCATGATGTGACTACTTAGAAAGGATATTCTGGTGTTTTGTCAACTGTCAGTTGAAAAGAGCAACAGAAAGTTAAATGCAACTGTCACAGCAAATGGAATGAGCCCTTGTAATTTGTAACATTATTCGCCAATCGCGTGTTGTGTTCAAGCATCTAGATACATGCTAATACCTCCTGGCGACAAACAAGGAAGCTTACTGTTAACTCTGTTCTAAGACTGATTAGATCTCATCTCAAATAGGCCGATTTCAAAATCGAAAAATATCCCGGACAAAATTCAGCATTTACGTAACTTTGCCAACAAGTCTGGAGGGCAACAAGCTATACAAAAAATTCTTCCCTTGTAAAATCGTACAAAACAAACCAGATATGAGATGTAGAGACTTGAATGACAAGACAAAAAACAGAATTCAGTTATGTGAAAGGTGGCTCTCTGAACTATATTGATCCGGCTGAATGAGATCTATCAAACGCTACCGCCTTGAAACACCGCACTCTGCATCAGCATACATGAATAGAGTTCCATCGTTGCTCAGCGCGCTGATAGTCACTATTTCATGTTAGTTTTGTTCAGCAAGTAAAGTGGCCCGGTACTCAGATCTTAAAATGTTTTGATCTAACATTCTAGTCCGGTAATGCTTGATTAAGCAGAATGAGAATACCAAGCTTTTGGATACTGCGCAAGATTTAATTGACAGTCACACGGTAAAGTTCATCAAGAGCCATGAAACCCCAGTATGCTGTTCACATTTCAAAGTTCTAATTCAAATTAATGCGTAAAATCCAATAAATGTAACCAGAGATGCTGTTCGCATGTAAAACAAGTCAACCATAAGCAATGTTCGATGAGGCGAGGAAAATGTTTCATGTTTGGCGGTTCTTAAGTCAAGGCAAACGTGTTTCCTAACGGAAGACTTCTTTGCATATCGGGCAAGCATACCGAGTCTTTATTAAAATTTTCCCATTTGCTGGCGAGAAAAATGCAACCACTCCACCGATTTCGATATCAAAACAAACGCAATCAGCCCGGCCTACTTGACAATCTGAAGTCAATTTATTTTATTCAAACTGATCGAGATTTTCTTATCAATAGGTGGAATTTTAATCATAAGTTATGGGGCAGCACATCTTTGCTATTTTAAAACTACTGATACATTAAGCTCAGCAGAGGTACTATTGTTTTTATTCGTGACCCTCAGCGTAGTATTCAGATAAAACTAAGTCGGCCAGTCGTGATTTTCTTGCGGGTGAAGAAAAACCCAATGTCGATTTTTGCAAATCAGTATTCGAGGTAATCTGGAACAGTTCAATTATACTGATGATGATTCGCAAGATCGATGCAAATAATAAAACTTTCAACTGAAAGCCAAAACTGAGATCGTCAAAAAGCTTACGGTATATCTTCGTTATAACAGCATTCATGTGCGCAGAAACTACGTGAAGAATAACTTTAAAACACCTGTGATCATTTGATGGTCTAGGAAAATGGCGAGTACCACCTAAATCAAGCGGAAACTACATGCTGGGCGCTAAGAAATCAGCAGGGGTTTGGCTCATCAGAATTACATGTCTACCGGTATCCAGAAGATTTGAGCGAACTGAAAACAGCATAGTTCTTTTTGGGTGCAGTGTACAATGGATGTTATTTATTCAGACTACAGCTGGCTTTCCGATGATAAGGACCGCTAAATTTGCCGTGTGTAACTGATTCCAGTTCACTTTCCAGATGCTTCAGTATCCCGTTTGTCTTCGAGCAGCCTTGAAATAAATTACGCAGAATTCATGCTAATTGGCTGCACGTTACACTCTGCCTTTTAAACATTTTGTGGTAGACCTACTCAAATATGTCATGAGTGGTACATTTTAATTAGAGTGATATACTGTATACTGGATTAGCTTCATCGTTCATTGGTTTGTAAAATTGCGCGTTCCGAAGTTGAGTCGAGGATGCGATAAAGGTGGGGGGTAAAGATGAAAGAAATTCTGCAAACGGGCCACAAAGACAAGTCTAAAATGGTTGTGCACCACAGTTTACTTTGCTTCATATTCTGCTGTGCATGTTAACCTGACATTTGGAAAACAAAGAACGTCATAAGTGCAACTACAAAGCAAATGGCTACTGTCATACAAATGGCACCTTATTGCAGCTGAACACGTCGCAGTCATCCTGAGTACGGCTGCACAGACACAGACAATAGAAACCGTCCTGGTTAACCTGTAATCACGTACGATATTTAGAACACATGTTCTTCATATAAGGACTGCGGTAACAAGTAAAGTTAATTCGTAGCTGCACTCAGTGTGTCACACTGACATTATGAAGCTCTTTTTTACGTCATTTTTATTGGCTGATTGTCATTCAACTCTAGAAGTAGACACCACATTCCGCAGGTTCGTGGAATACTAGGCTGGTGAGTATATTCTTGAGACCTAGCCTAGTGTATAGTGCCCTTAAACAGAAGGTAGTTTTACTCCGGTCCGTGAAATAAGAATCAGTGATTTTCTGAGACCATGTCCATATTACGGGGATCCAGAGGCGCAACTACTTATCCTCAAAACACGTTCACAAATAAGTGGGTGCCGCATTACTACAGTTGTTTCCTGTGCTGGCCGTTTGAAGGAGCCCACTAAGTTTCTTTCTTCTTTTCGGGTTCCAAATATTGACAAAAGCATCACTAAATCATTAAATATAGACAAATCATCACATTTCATTTCCCCAAACCAGGTACCTTTGGCGAATTGTGAAGAGCGTATATCCATTCAGATATTACTGTCATGTTTTAGCCTTGCAGCACTTTTATGATGCTACGCCGCGGAATTCAAAAATGCGCCACATCTTGAGAATACGGCTGTCTTGCATGACATAGATCAACCACGGGGATGACCTCTTCCTAAAACAAAACCTTTTTGAACTATAAAAGCTGGGATTCAACAGATAAATTTTCAAAATCAGCAGATTTTTACCCAACTCACAGTTATTCTCTACACAGCGAGGCGAACATATTTTGGCAGGATTGTCCCAGAAAGGAGATAAGATCCCTCCGAACCTCTAGGTCTGTTGACAGTCAGGATGGACTGAAGTGGTAACGTCTTGACCAGCCGTTGTTGCAGAATGGGAGAATCATGCTGATAATAGTAGCTCAGATCCAGTACAGTGTTCATTTTATCGTATATATATATTTTTCAAAATCAAGGATTAGGTTGTGGACATGGCAACATCCATCCTTCTAAATCGAACTAGGGTTCACAGTTAACACCACAGTTTAAACAGTCCACTGTATGAACTGACCTATCTAAGTAAGCTTGTTAAATTTGTGGGTGCATCGAAACTATTAAGCGGGTAGCTGGTGAACTGCAAACGCACAGATGCATCGTGTGGCATTTCGATCTTGAAACATGCGACCAAGAAAAGCAATCCAACCTATAACTTGCCTAAACTAAATCACGGAATGTTTTTTGTTGCCTTTTCTATCCTTCTCTATGCGATAACTTTCACATTTTTGGTGTTTTCTCGATTTTCCGAGCAAGCGGCTGGGTGAGATTCCATCATGTGACCTCTAATATAAGTCTTGCTGATTCAAATAAAATGTTTTATGAGTCAAGTTATCACCGAAATATCCAATTCCTCTGACCCGTACTGTTCAAATTAATTAGGTGCAACATGGGACCTTTTTCACAGCCGCACCTTATTGATGGTGAGTAACATAATATGGGTGTGCAGGTCAAGCGAAGCAAAATTTAGAAATAACGATTGTTATTGCAGTCGAACTGATAGACGTACACCAAAAGAATGTATTTTTTCCAAGCTTCCGCTGGTTCTCCCTACGTAGGTTAAGACCGAATTACTTAAGTCTAATTTGAATGACTTTTGGTTCAGTATAGTTCCAGTACGTCACCTGAATTTCACAAAACATTTCACGGCTCATACTTTAAACTCACTAATGGTGTACGTGATAGTTAGCGGGCTCGAACAATGTTTGTGTGGTATCACTTGGTCAATCTCGATTTTAAAGCGCCTTGTAAAATGAACCTTGAAGGGTTTGCAGAACGCTCATCCATACACTGGTCTTGTAGTCCTGTACTGTACTGTGATGGTGGTGAAAGATTTCAGAAACATGGTAGGTTCCTGGGGCCGAGTGCCAGCGCAGGCTTTTATTGTTCCAGTCACTCCCTGTTGAAGATATCCCTTGAGTACCAGATACGGTTGGTGGGGGCCAGGAGAGTTTGTCACTCACTGCGTTGCCACTTTAGGTATGTTTTTAGTTGCTTTTTGTAAACGCGGTATTTCACAAGCATGGATCCACCCAACAAGGACTCCTATCCAGTCATTCCTGGTAAGTGGTTTTCGTTCAGCCGAACTATACAGAATTCAATGCAATTACAAAAACCTTCCATGTGTGAGCAGAGTTTTTTCGTTCCCTGGAAATACACGTTTCGAATCTTTTCTGCTGGACATTTTAACAGAGCTATTCCGTATCTGAATTTAGCCTCAATAGGTGCGATATGTTTTACATTCCCATGGGAGGACATACACACACACATGCAAATACTGACGTAAACGATTCGCTTGTGCTTTGACTGACGATTTTCACGGCAGCCCATCCAGAGAAAAATAGTTTCGCTGGATATCTGGTACCCGGGTTTGAGAATACTAAGTGTTGGTGTACATCTGTACTTGTCAATTGTAGGATGTTGCTGGGGTCAGATTTAAAGGTTCCAAAGCAGCATTAATCCGCAAGTAATCTCCCAGTGCTTTACTTTTCAGATTTTGACCAGGAGGAAAAAAATTTCGGCTTGCTGTCAAAAAACATCGTTAGAGTAAAAGAATTGCGAAATCCGGAAATCGGTAGTATAGCTGCGAGTTCGGTTGATTGGACTACGGAAACTTTCAAAATTATCCCTGTGAACCAGTTCTAGCGCAAATTTCAGCAGTTCAAAAGCAAACATTGCGAAATGTTGATGGTTGTGGTTAACTCATATTACCCAAAGCATAACTGAACAAGGATATCCACATTTGTTTGGTAAAAAATGTTCTCCATTACAAGTAGAATGGTAAATAAAGCTAGCACGACCGAAGTGATAAGAAAATTCATATCTATTGTCATTTTGAACCTTCTTGAATGGCGTAGATTGATATACGCTATTTTTCACATGCAACGCTAAATGTATCCGTTCTTTGTAAAAAGATTTAAGCGACCTGCACGCATGTGACAATCTCTTACCTAGCCTATTCCCCCTCAAATCCTGATAAGGGACTAGAGAAAGTTAAGATACATTAACAGATTCGGAGCAAACCACTGTCATGTTCCATTAGATAAATGAAGTCATTCAACCAATAACGCAGCAAGAGGTCTCTTTCTCTTTATGTACTTTATACGTCATATTTATTCCGAGCTTCAGTTTTACCATTCAACATTTTCCGTCAATAACCGTATGATAGACCTTGTGATCAAATTCACGTTCACAAAATATATGTGCCTTCATTTTTTCCAAGAACATCATTGAAAACAACCCATCCAAAAACTCTCCCTGTTAGAAAATAATATTCAATCTAGAGCTACACCGCAGAGCTCTGTCATCCACAAAGTTGTAGAAAAGTCATCACGCGATTTCGGAATGATTCAATATTTAAAAATATTCTCGGAAAATCTCTCTAATCTGCAGGTCTGAAGAAGTACTCAAGGTAGTTTAAACGAAATCCTGCGAGACAAATCAAATTAAGTGAGTGATGCTGTAGGCCTTATAAGACAAGTAAGAAAATCGTTCCAGTTTAAATGTTGCAAAACTTCATTTTTATTTTTATTTTTTTATTTTCTCATTTACTTCAATTTCGCCAAACATCTACGCAGAATATTGATACTCAATCCGATGTAGCAACGCACCAGCGCGAAGACTATACCAGTGGCTCATTCAGCGGCAGCTTTCATGGTCTCAATGACCCCCTTATTTGTTACTTATGCTATAAGTTGTCTGGGCATCAATGCGTAGGACGTTCGGTTGCTTGAAATGACTGTGGACCACTGAGTAGATGTGACCACAATGTTTTTGTTAGTTTATTTCACAGAAGTTTTTCTCACAAAGTTTACACATGTCTCAGATTGGACGAAGAGAGCCAACAGAAAAAAATTATGGTAGACCTAATGTAGGAGAATAGTAAGGCCTTTTGCAGATGTTGCAACTGCTCACAAAGTACCCTCTCTAAAAGTATTCCACCGCCTCTTTTTGTGGCGCTGGTGGTAGTCTAGCTGAATGATGCTGAACAAAATAGCCAGGGTACATTTCGATCTGGAATATCTTCGGGTTGTACAGAGACAAAAAAGTAAATTTCCGTGGCTTTAGAACTCAGGCTCGGGGATTGCTTGAATGCTCAGAGGGCTAGCGATGGGTGGATACACCTCACGTTGGAGGTCTAAATAACCTTTGCATTTGCGGTAATGAATGCCACCTTTTTGGATAGCTTCCAAAATAACAACACTATGATGTTTTTCATGGAACCAATAGGCCTAAAGAGCTTGTCGGAAAAATCAGCAGAGACAGTTTTGGAATTCTGACCCACTGTTTATAAGTCATCAGTATTTCATAGTGTTAAATGCGCCTACCGACGCATGCTGTGTTGCCAAGTTTTTTTCAAACAGAAGCCCTCTTTTCTACGAGAAGTTAAAATGTAATCAGCAGAATAGCTGGGTAATTGATTTTCATCCAAGAGGATTACTCTGGTTGATTTTTTATCCTTTAGTTAGACTGACTAAAACCAATTAACAAAGTCCTTTAGTGAAATACGTTTACACCAGTCTGCGAAGAAATTAGCTACTCCACCGATAAAATCAACTCACACATAAGATAAACTATGAATATTGCACTAATGGCTGGTGAATAACTCGTAATTTCAGGAAAAAATAAGTGCCAGGCATTCGGTGCGCATACAGTTACTGTACACATACCAAGTGATGTCACAAATCAACTATAGCAGATAGGTATAATGAGAAACTGTGCAACATGCGAGACGGCCATGAGATATGCCCTTTCGGGGAGGACCAGTGGCTTTTGGGGACGGTTGCTACCCATAACATTGGTAAGAAATATAACGCAGATGAAGCTATTAAACTCAGAACTCTACAAGTTAAAATCCACTGTTTTTGATCCAGCGGGTATTCCTTCGTTAAAAAATATTTCGCCGCTTAAAATGAGTTGGTTTGCTACATATCCCAAGATAAAGCCTTTTTCGCTAAATCTCTCGCAGTGGTGCAAAGTTCGAGACAATCACTTTGAATTTTCAGAATATAAAGGGGGTTATGAAGTGTGGGTAGCACTGATGGAATCCTAGTTTGAAGATGATATATGTACAAGCTCCTGGGGCTCGAGTGGATACCTTGCAAGATAAAGCTGTTAACCTATCTCAGGGACATTCTGGCTCTTTTTTATACAGAGGATCTGAGTAAGCCTTATGAACTCCCATTGTATCTCATCATTTTCTATCATTCTCTTCTAATAACTATGGGATCTATCAACATAAAATTCATATAGATGTAAGTAGTGAAACGGCGCTTTGATCGTGAACCAACCTGCTGTGATGTTGAGTAAGCAACAATATTTTCTTAGAGATTCAAACTATTATTACACTGACACGTGTGCATGCGAGTTTCTTCTGTATGAGACACCTGGAAAACAGGTTCGTATATCAACCGTTCACCGTGCGCCATAGCTTCAGTTCGCAAAATATTTTTCATGAAACGTTTGTTTTGGCACGTACTTTTTAAACACTTAAATCTAGTGTGCACATCATCCTTTATGCAGCAGGTGTCGCTGAGCATAACTTGCTATTTTGATTCCCAGAAGTTTGCAAATCGTCATTCTCAACAGAACAAACAAAATCGTTTGCTTATTTTGCGAGCCATAGTAGATGTTATTTGTCGATTTATTCTAAAGAAACAAACGAAAATAAGTTGGGCATTTGGACGATATTTCGTTTAAATCAAAGGAACACAAACAACAACGTAAACTCACCAGTCTTTCTGACAAAGCGGTCTTGTCGTGTGAGGGCAGATGAACTTCCATTGCGAGGACAATGCAGTTGGCCAGTATCGTGAGAAGAACCATATACTCGAACGGCGTGGATATTGTAAGTCAAGGATGAAAGCGGTAATGTCAGCAACGAACACAGATAAGGAACACAAATAGATCAGCACTGCTCCTGGGAAAAAGGAACGGCAGTCACTCAGGAAACATATACGGACCTTCAGTACCTACGTTATACGGATAGAACATGCCTTAAATTTCATTTCCAACAGTCATGCTTTAATGGAGCTCAAAAGAAAACTTGTGAAGATGCACAGCCAAGTTGGCTGGTTTACTGAAGCATTGGAGCGTTGGAGCATTGAAACCCAAAAAGCTGCAATTTTTCCTCCTCCAATGGGAAGAACTAGAACGGTCTGTTTTGTCGAATTTATGATGATCCCTTCACACAACAGAACAAGCATGGTCTATAGGACACGTTTCTTACACGTGACTAGCAGAATGAAACCCATTTTGCTCAAGCACGTGATCACGACTTCTTGCATTCGAAAGTGTGCCACCGAAAGCACACAGCTCGCTGCTGGTACGTGATGCGTCTTTTCAGCCAAATAAAGTGAGATATGATGGAACTCGGTGAAATCTTTGTAGCATATCTTTTGTTGTTATGTCAAATGCCCATTTGCCAATTTGATACGAAGCAGGGAAAGGACAGAAATCAAGGTTTAGACTTTAACCGTTTTAAGGTTCGAAAGACCCACAGGTTCACTTAAGCCAATAAAGCCGCAAAATTAATTCCTTCTACCATACCTGCGAGCTATGGACAAGTCAGCACTACATGATATTCAAATTGAGGTCGGATGTGGGAACTACCACCTACTTAAACAAGCTACCAGTGAATATACTAACTCTAATGCTGGTCAGTCACTCTCAAGATGAAATTGTGCTGAAATTCTGATCCATCTCGAAAATCATGCGCCATGTCTTATCAACATTCACTTTGGGTTTTGTTATAAAATTTTAGCAAGTTTTTACCCGAAACGGCGCTTTTCCCTGACCAGATTTCCTTAACTCAAGGCTCGAATGTACTGAACAAATTTATGTAGTCAAAAAACGTCACGGATCACTGTCTCCATCCATAGTCGCTTTATGGGAAATGCCCAACGATCAATGTGCTGGATGTTATATTTTTCGAAAACCTAAATTTCTGCCCATGTGATATAATTATTAGGCACGGTTAAGTTTGAAAACATTTTTCTTGATATTAGGTATGCGTCCATCATAGGAAAAAAACAACATTTGGTAATATGAGTGGACCATACAATCTAGTCAGCCTGCCGTTCTAAAAGTAGTCAGTCTACAACAGAGGGCGAATACACCGTAAAGCCATTTTCTTTTCACTGGAAGTCGCAAACTGACGAACTGCCATGGCGATTAGAACCTATGGTATCCGGGCCACTATTTGCACATCAAACTCTGACCATGATAGTCTGAGTAGCAGGGCGCTTAGCTTGCAGCTAGACAGGCTACGGTGCCACTGTCATTTGAATGATAGTTTTTACACCACATTTTCATAACTAGACTTATGCTTTGATTTACCATTTATCGGACGCAGGGTTCTGGCAAAACAAGCTTCATTTTGTTGTCATAAAACAGTGAGATATTTAGCTACTTGCCAGAAAAGAGAGGATTTGGATCTTCGTGGAGGTTTGTGAGCTAAGCTCTGATGATCTTCAGTGAAACCTTAACAGTTTTACAACGCTTCTCTTATATCTTCACTTCAGTTACAGCAAGAATGACGATTTATAAATACCAGTAACATGTAGGAATACTCTGAGTTGATTGTGCTGTATCACTTTTATGCGCATTGGTAATATTTTGTCAACACGGAGCATGGTATTCTGAGCCGTATTTTCGAATGACTCACTCACCTTTATCTCACCTTTTGGTTGCAAATGGCAGGCTTTTGGGTGAATGAACTTACGGGTTATAGCGCAAATTTTACTGCTTCGGCAAGGTGCGTTATCTCAAAGATCACCTGTGCCGGCCCACAGCTTTCTGTCTTCAGACGTTTGAAAAAAAACATGAATATGATGGCGTTCCCAAGTTACCCACATAAATGACTACAAGCCACGAATTTCGCACAATTTTAGGACCAAAACTTTGCAACCTCTAGAGTTGCGAGCAATGTTGCGGTTGATTAGAATGGATACGCAGCTCGTTGAGGGGAGCCAGGGCGCATAATGAGGGCAACTGGTTGTCAGCATGCGAGTGTTGCCGTCAACGATCGAAGTCGTACTTTGGAAAACCAAGAGCCTTGGCTCACTAAAGCACAAATTCTGTATAAACCACCATAAATCCGACCTAGCGGTGGAACACCCACGCCAAGTGCCTAGAATTTAGACCTGTCATGACCAGCCGCGCGCAAATCTGAGGAGCGGTAAACTGTCGATAACATTTGAAACCAACCGTTCCTTTGTTGCCTACCTGATGTTGTGCGTTGGCTCCGATTTATTTTGCTGTTGTACACCTTTGTGTGCTTTGTGTGCTTACGCAGAGGCCGTCCCTCGAATGGAATAAAGCTAAGCGTGAATTAGGTTCATCCGCCTGTGACCGAGCAGTCTAGCATTCAACTAACAGTTTAGAGGTTGCGAGTTCGAAGCTCTCTTGAAATTATTCAGATACTCACTGCCAGTTTTTCCCAAGAAAGATGAAATAGCTGTACAGTTTTTCGGCATTCTGGCATAGCTAAACTTTGCTCACAGAATAAGGTCTACATTGAACAAATATAACCTATGCTTACGAATTTGCACACCGTTGTGTTCCGTTGACGTGCTATTTGTTTATCAAACATTGAATACTAAATTACTTTGTTGGATTGCTTATGATGATTAGTGCTGTGGATTGTAGTTGTTCAAAAATGGTAGTAACAACCTGCTTTTTGATTTGTTTGGAAACTTGGTAGGGCTCACGGAGGCAGATGCAGAAGACTAGACAGTAGTGGCTATTTTAACACGTTCAAAAATAATAAAACATTTTGTCATAACTACCAATAAGATATAGTATCTGATTAGAAACCTACCTAATGCCTCTTCAACCCAAGAAGGATTACGACTACCGCATTGTCAAGAAGAATTTGCAGTTTCAGTTCTCTGATAGAATTTTTTCCAGTTCAATCTGAAATGGCTAAAATATCTAAATGAACAATATTTACCTATACTGATAGATTTAACTACATAGCGTGTTATCATTCGAACAGCTTAGCATACAAGCTCTCCAGAAAGTGTTTGCCGTGTTACCATATTATCGAATTCACAAACAGCTTTTATGAAATCCATTGGTTAAAATCTAATCAAATTTCTTCAGTCAATTCTAGTGATTTGTGCACAAGTTCTCTAAACTGAGAACGTGCCATAAAGCCTTACACAAAGGTTAATCGGGGGACCAACCAAACTCATGAAATCAGCCAAAGTTAGCTGATGGCGTTCACAGGCGAAGACAAGAGTGCCTATAAATGTTCGGAGACAATCAGTGGAATATGGTAAAGACCGGATCGATATCGCAGTTTTTTTGGCTGTCAGGTAGAAGCAATTGGCCGGCCAGTTGTCACATATCCAGTTTTTTTCTGTGGAATATTAACTGAAGGGTAAGAAGCTTCGGATCCACTCTCTTCAGGTATGTTGAAATGACGAGTATGTTCCACAACATACCTCAGCATTACAACAATATTCTATCATTGCGGACAATCCGTACAGCCAACAAAATGTGTTAAATAATTTAACATGGTAGAGTGTAGGATACGAGTTTCATATCTTAGGCTTGTCTACTTTGAACGTTTGACCTGGCTCAAGAATTCAGCGAGCCCTAGTCTTGTTAATAACCATCACCATTAAGTTCATGCTTATACCGAGTACGTTCCCACAGTAACAGAACAGGAAGTTTAGACTGTTAGGCTTCTACCAGACTAACTGATTTAGGCACAATTTGCCCGCGTACGCCAAGATATCACCCAAAATTATGGACGGCGGCTGCCTCAATAAACCTTCATTTTATGGAAGCGAGATTTAAAATACCAAAAAAGTGGATAACCACTAGTGTACTATCTGTAACTCATTACGCGTCGTAAAGCACACCGCAGTATGGACACTGATAGTCTCTCTATGACATCGATTCACATTTGAATTAGGAGAGCACACATCGTAGACAACCGAGACGGGCGGTCAGACTAACCAAGAAAGTTTTAAAGCCTCTCTCTGGAACAGACATGCAACCACTAAATCGTGCAACAAGATCAGGAAATTCATTTGTATATCACGTTCTGTCCAATCGTGTACTGTTCTTTATGCCCGACGCAAACCTAAACAGATTTTTATGCTGCGTACGGGTTCCACGAAATTCATTTAAATGGTTGGAATTTCGTTTCCCGTCTTGTTTGGGCGAGGCCGGACCCACTTTTTACTGCAAGACTGTAAAACACGATTATAACAGCTCTGACCTGCCTTCCTAATGACATATTACTAAGATTGAAAGACCGCATATGGCATTGTAAAAGTTTACAATTCAGCCGTTGCTTTCAAGAAACCAGTGTACACAAGTGTAAATATTCGATTATTTTTCCTTGAGCCAGTGTACTTTAAGGCTTGCAGTAACTTCGATCGATCGGTAGATATAATGAGAATATTTATACTGGTTTCTATTTAAAATGAATGAAGACCACAGTAAGACAGCCCAAGATAGTTCATCCCCTAGCATCCTCTTGCCAATATGGTCCTTCAAAACGTCGATTGAAATTGGTCTTCAACCGTCCCTAAATTTATACTTATATGAGCACAACAGAGAAAGAGGGGGAGGAAGAGTTGCAATCACTTTTCCTCTCTAAAATGCAAAAAACAGTTTGACGTAATTCAAGCTACAGTGCACAGTCAGCCCCGGACAATTGGGACAAATGAGCGAACCGGATTAACTGTCCAAAATGTCGATTTTCGTTGGTTTCACGCAAAGCTCATATTGTAATTGCCCACTTCCGCTTTCAGCCGTTGCAATTCAGATGTTGCATGCATCTCTCAACAGAACTACTAAATACAAGC